TTTGCTTCTAGAACCACAAGGATGATTCTAATGGGGTTCAGGTCGAGTGTGGAGCTGTCAGCAGTCTGGCCCGGCTTCCTGGCGCCTTTGTGGCCCGGAAGGCCGCTAATGGCGACAGCAGCCACACAGCCAGGGCAGGGCGTGCATTCTTTCCTCTGAGTTGGCCCAAAGACCCCGAGTGGGGGTATTAAAACTTTCACAGAGTCTCAGAGGGGGTGGCGCCTGCCCCGGGAATGCCCAGGGCCCCCGGCAGAAGTCCAGACCTGGACAGGGGAGGGGGGCAGAGGGCGGAGGGCAGACTTACTGATGCCCTGATCTTGCCTGACCCCTGGGCAGGGGCATCCTTCTCACAGAGCCCTCCTGCCCCGCCTTCCCGTTTCCAACCCCACCAAGCCTGGGGGGTGGGGTGGGGGGAGGGGGACACTCACTGCAAGGCTGGCTCTCAGGGGCTCTCTCAGCGCCCATGGCCTTCCGGTTAGCCTGGGACAGAAGTCATCGTCAAGGCGAATAGTGGTGGCTTTGTCCTGATCCCCTTGTTAGACCAGCGGTGCCAGGGTCCTGGGGTGGGGGCAGAGCGGTTGGGAGATTGCGGAGGGTAGGCCCTCCCTTCTCAAACGCGTATTATGGAAAATTTCAAGTCTATATAAGCACAGAGACCAGGATGGTGAACTATCCGACGCTCTATCCATTGAGCCAAACCAGCAAGAGCAAGAACTTACTTTTAAAAAAATAAAACTATAATACCAGTATCACATTGACAGTGGAATTAAATCGATGTCCACATTTCCCTGAATGTCTCAAAAACTTTTAACAACTGGTTTGTTTGAATCAAGATCTAACAGTGAGGCCCAGAAGTAAACAGTCGGCACAAAACAACTGGTTTGTTTGAATCAAGATCTAAGTAGGAGCTCACACTGCATGTGAGCGACATTGCCACTGTCAGTGTCACTTCCCCTCAGTGGACTTGGGGTCTGAGTCCTTGGAACCAGGGGTCTGATGTGATCCACAGCGCCACGCTGGACCCGGGCCCCGGGGAGCAGCACGCCAGGTCTGGTTTCTGCCTTGGGGAAGTCTTTGGAGCTCACGGGTGAACCACAATGGTGTCAAGGCAAGGTGTGGGGGTGCCTGGGTGAGTCCCTATTTGTGGGGACCCTGTTTGCCAAGGAGGGTGAAAGCTGTGGGACAGGCACGGGGGCAGCTGGGGACAGTTCTGCCTGGCTTCTGAGGATGAGGGATTCTGCTCCTGGGAGTCCTCAGCTGCTGCCCTGAGTCTGAGGGCAAGACTCTTAAAGCTCCTAGACCAGTGGTTCTCAACCTTCTGGCCCTTTAAATATAGTTCCTCATGTTGTGACCCAACCATAAAATTATTTTCGTTGCTACTTCATAACTGTCATGTTGCTACTGTTATGAATCGTAATGTAAATATCTGATATGCAGGATGGTCTTAGGCGACCCCTGTGAAAGGGTTGTTCGACCGCCAAAGGGGTCATGACCCACAGGTTGAGAACCGCTGTCCTAGACAATTTCGAGGGAGCAGTGGTGTGCTGGGGCTGGCGCGTACCAGTTCATGGAGTCTACTGGCTAATCCTCAGGATCGTTTCTTGGTTTTGACTTGCAAGCCATTATTAAAAAATTATAAATATTTACAATTAATTTTGTTAAAAACTAAGAGGATACTTGCCTGGCCAGGTGGCTCAGTGGTTGGGCATCGACCTATGAACCAGGAGGTCATGGTTTGATTCTTGGTCAGGGCACATGTCCGGGTCGTGGGCTCGGTCCCCAGTGTGGGGCGTGCAGTAGGCAATTGGTCAATGATTCTCTCTCTCCCTCCCTCTCCCTTCCTCTCTGAAATCAATAAAAATATAAACTAAAGAAAAAAGAGGAGACTCAAAACTCATTCCTTCCCAATTGCTTGCTTACAGTTTACAAGTATATGCTCTGGAGGTGAATTAACTGCATCTGGACAGTGTGCATGAACTTCCCAAGTTCGTGTCGGGTGACTTCACGTGGGAACTGGCATATGCTACCCGGCAGGGCTTCCCCCGCCTGGAGAGATGCGTTCAACACTGACCAGCACACCACTGCTTCGGAGTCCCGTTTCCGCCTCCCCTAGATCAAGGCCGCTCGCTCGCTCTGTAAATCTCTTTCAATCATCTGACCCTCTCCGTGCCATGCGGTGCCCGACGAGCCTCATCTCGGGGAAGGGGCAGGGCCATTGTGGGAGGCAGTGGTTGGAGGTGAAGAGAAAGCCACAACCACAAACCCGATCGCCCCTCTATCCCTATCGGGGAGAAAGGCGTGCAGCTTACTGAGATGTGCCTGGACTTAATGGAGAGGAGCGCGGGCAGAGGCCATGTGTCTGGACTGGCGAGGGTGCACTGTTTTCCTCCTGGAAGGGAAAGTGTGGTTACAATGGAGCCGTCACCCGCAGGGTGGCCCCTAGTCGCCGCTGACCCTGCTGCACCCTGGGGACCATGAAGCCTGCTGGGCCATCCCCCCAGGGGGCCAGCGCACTGTGACCTTTCCTCCCGTCTGGCCACTGTCCGATTTATGATAACTGCTCGTGTTCTTCAAACTGGGGCGCCCAAGATCGCCCTGGAGTGTGGGAAGGAAAAGTGAACTTGTTTGTTTTTATTTAAAAAATACGATTGCCCTGGCTGGTTTGGCTCAGTGGATAGAGCGTTGGTCTGTGGAATGCAGGGTCCTGGGTTGGATTCTGGTCAAGGGCACATGCCTGGGTTATGGGCTTGGTCCCCAGCGGGGAACATGCAGGAGGCAGCTGATTAATGATTCTCATCATTGATGTTTCTCTCTCTGCAATCAATAAAAATATATTTTAAAATAATGAAATAAAAAAAAAAATACAACTATTGCCCTAGCTGGTTTGGCTCAGTGGACAGAGCGTCGGCCTGCAGACTAGAGTCCCAGGTTTGATTCTGGTCAAGGCCACGTACCTTGGTTGCAGGCTCTTTCCCGGCTCTGTCCCTGGTCAGGGCTCATGCAGGAGACAACCAATCGATGTGTTTCTTTCACATCAATGTTTCTCTCTGTCTTTCTCTCTCTCTCTCCCTAAAAAAAAAAATAAAAAAAAATCAATGGAAAAATATCCTCGGATGAGGATTAACAAAAAACAAAAACTAAAAAATACAACTATAAGCAAGCAGGTAAGCTTTACTGATGTTTAATATATGAAATAATAGGTATATTATATACACTGGAAGTGCAAGCTCAGGAAAAAATTTGTTCTATCAATTGTGTGGCCCGGGACAGCCACCTCCTTGGATAGAGAAACACTTTCATTTTTGTAACCCCAAAGGCCATATCAGGATCAGGTAAGTGCAGGGGCTCCACAAATAGATGCTGAAATACAAACTACTCCTTACTTTCCGGGGACTCAAGGCCCCTCCCTCTCTCCTCCCCTCAGGTGGAGGAGTCAGGTCGGATCAGATGGTCAAGGCTCACAGACCACACAAAGGGCCTCTGCCGTAGGGGGCGGGGCTTTTGGAGAAGCAAGTGGGGCTGCTGGGGTCTCCCTCCTCCAGTTCCCCTCCCTCTGCTGTGGCTTCTGCTCGGATGGGACACTAGTCCTCAGGAGCTCAAGGTCGTCAAAGGAATGACTCACGATCAAGGCTGGGGAAAGTGGACCCTGACTCTCCAGAACAAGCCCTGGCACTCCTTCACCATCACGGCTCGGTGGGCATGGCTGAGGGAAGCTGGAGTGGGGGCAGGGGCGGGCGTAGGCCGGTATCTGAACATCACCCAACCTGGCCTCTTGGTCAACAGCTGCGGACAGCTGTGACCCTGAGGGATGGGGACAGATGACATTATGTGTCTTCTAAGCTGTAACCCAGAACGACACACTTCACAGGTTCCCTGTGTTCCTGTCCTCTCCCGCCACCAGCGTCAGAGGAACCCGCAACTTGGGTGTGTGTAGTGAGAACGCCGTGTCCTGCTCAGTTTGGCTTGTTTCTGAGCTCCAGTCTTCTGGAACCCGCTCCTTTCACCCAGCTTTCTCCCTTTAAGTTATCCACAGGAACAGCACAGCTTATTTCTGTTCCACAATGAATTTTATTTTATTTAGGAGAGCGACATACAGTCCTGGGTATTTCCGAGTGCAGCGAGCAGAAGGACAGGAAAGACACTGGGCTACCGCGGGCCGGCTTCTGCCTCTGGACGCGGGGCCTCACTGGCTGACAGGGCTGCTTCGGCGTCGGGAACACTTGGCAGAACCGAGTCTGTGGCTGCCTCTGCCGTTTCAGCAGGCGTTTTGTGGGTTTCATCTCCACTGTTCACTCATTTGATAAATATGACAGGGATTGTGCTGAGGACACCAAGGGGAACAAGAAACACGCCCTGCCCACGGGGGCTCACAATCTAACAGTGAGGCCCAGAAGTAAACAGTCGGCACAATACAGAGTGGCAAGTCTTCTGTGTAAGCTCATTGTGGTGCGGGCACGGCAGGACGCCACCTGACACGGCTGTGGGGAGGCCTAACATTGAGACCAGGAAGCTGAGGTGTGTCTGCCAGGAAAAAACACAAAGACCCCCCTGGCCCAAGTCTGACTCTGTCAACACCACCCTGTTCAAGTCCCTCATCTACCTGCCCTGCCTCCTCTTGGGAAGTTCATTATCTCACGGCCTGTTCAGTCACAAGTCACTTTGCACAGGTGGCTAGTTTCCACATGTGCACCTTACACCAGGCTGCCGTCTCCCCGAGAACCAAGTCTTTTTACACGGCACCTATGACTATACGGTAGACAGAGAGGCTGCCCAGGGAACCCGGGCTGGGAGTGACGATGAGGAAGGCTGCAGTAGGTGAAAAGGGTCTGGGCCCTGGCCGGTGTGGCTCAGTTGGTTGAGCGCTGTCCTGTGCACCGAAAGGTTGTAGGTTTGATTCCCAGTCAGGGCACATACCCGGGGCTGCGGGTTTGATCCCCAGTTGGGGTGCGTGCAGGAGGCAACGGATCGATGCTTCTTCTCTCACAAAGTGTGGGGTTTTTTTCTTCCTCTCTCTCTCCCTTCCTTCCTCTTTATAAAAATCAATAAAAATATATTTAAAAAAAGAAAAAAAGAAAAGGGTCTGGGATAAACAAAAAAGTTATACAGAGAAAGCATACCTACTAGGCTGCTGCTCGGACTAGAACACTCAGAATACTTCTACTTATAAATGCAAAAACTCAAACCACAAACAGTTCTCTCGACAGCACAACTGTTTGAAAGAAACAGACAATCAAACAGTACTTCATAGCAAACAAAAGCTAAACAGTAACCGCACACTCCCCCACTGAACACACTGGGAACCCGCGGCGCTGCGGCCCGGCCACGGGCTCAGTGGAACGTGATCCGGAAGCTGCGCTCCTGCTCCTTGGGCCGCCCCTCGCACACCTTGGTCACCTCCTCCACCTTCCTCTGCAGCAGGGCCGAGTTCTGGTCGATCCACTGCAGGGAGTCCATGTGTGCGTTGAGGATCTTGCAGATCTGCTGTAGGGGGTCGCTGGTGTCTGCGGGGCTCCCGGACGTGTTCAGGTGCTCGATGATGTCCTTGAGGTCCTGGGCCATGCGCTTCAGCTGTGCGTCGATGTTCTCGGCCAGCTTGTAGGTCTTCTCGCGCTCCTCGTCGGCGTGCTGCAGGTAGACGGTCCCGCTCTGCTCCTTGACGGACTCCTCCAGAGGGCTCAGCAGGTCCTCCAGCTCCTTCTGCTGCGACAGGATGAAGTCCAACTCTTCGTCCAGCCTCTTCTGGTCCAGCTTCACCTTCTCCACCTCGCGGTGGAGGGCGGTGATCTTCTCCCCGTTCTCGATCAGCGTGCGGTCCCAGGCGTTGACGTGGGTGGCCTGCTGCAGGAAGTGCCGCTCCTGGTCCTCCAGCTCCAGGCTCCACTTGTTGATCAGACTCTCCAGCTGGGCGTAGGTCATCACGGGACTGGTGGACACCCCAGTGGCTGCACTGGGGCCAGACGGAGCGGTTATGGCAGTGGGCGCATTGCTGGGGATCCTGGCTGATGCCAGGGGTTTTAGATTCAAGGAGAAGCTGCTGGTGCTGGTGGTGGTGGCGGCGGTGGATGTCGCTGTGGACGCGGTGGGAGCTGCTCCAGGACCCTTTAGGCTGAAGCCCAGCATTCCAGGCCCAGACGTTCCAGCGGTGGTTGCTGGGGCACCAAGGGAGAGCCCGGTGGCAGCAGACGAGGTTGGAGCAGTAGCCAGCGAAGCAAAGAGTGTGGGTCCAGCACTGGTGGTGGCAGCAGTGGGCGCGGGAGCAGCTGGCTGTGTGGTTCCTGCTCCAGTGGCTGCCGGTGTGGCTGGGGGGAAGGCCAACCCAGCAAGTGTCGAGGGCTGGGCCGAACTCCCCATGGAGCCAATACTGAAACTGGAGGTCCCCCCAGCCTGGGACGTGCTTCCACCTGTAAACGAGAAGCCCCCGGGTGTGGTGGATGGAGCAGAAGAGGTGGCGGTGGAGCCGAACACAAAGCCGGTGGGTGCTGTGCCCTGGCTGGAGGTGACGGCGCTGGAGATGGCGTTGGTGAGGGTGCTGCTACCGAGCCCGAAGCCAGTGGGCTGTGCTGTGGCTGGGGTGGCAGCTGCATTGCCCAAGTTTAGCTTTGGGGTGCTGATCCCTAAGGAAAACCCAGTGCCTCCAGTAGCAGGAGCTGTGGTTCCAAAACTGAATCCTGAGGTCTGTGTTGCTGGCGTTTGGGTAGGGAGTGAGAACAGGCTGGTAGAAGGGGTGCTCGCAGTGGGCTGGGAGGGAGCCCCAAAATTAAACCCGCCAGTGCCAGATGTAGAGAAAGAAAACCCGGTGGCAGGGGTGGTTGTTGCTGTCTTTGCAGTGCCAAATGTGAACCCGCCTGTGGGGGCCCCAGTGCCTCCAAAATTAAACCCGCTCATGGCTCCAGACTCCGGTGGCAGCAGCTACTCCAGCTCCCAAAGCAAATCGTCAGCGTCGTCCGCAACCTTGGGAAGATTTTTAAAGCAGAGGAAGTGACATGGTCAGATGGCAGTTTTGGAAAGACAACCTCACTGGCACGGGCGCGGTTTGGAGCGGCGGGGACGGACGGTCCTAATGAGGCCACTCTCCTCTTCCTGACCGGCCCTACGTCAGCTAGGAAAGGCGGAGCGGCGCTGGGAGAGAGAGTGCTTGGGACCTGCGTGTACTCAGCAGAGCAGGAGCCCCACGGCCACGGGGAGTCCAAGGGCAGGCACCTGAACTGACCTCAGTCCCCGAGGAGGCAGCCAGATTCCAGGAGCTTCTCACGAGCGGGACCCGAAGCGCACCCAGCTCCACCCGTAGGATCTGCTCCCCAGGTTTCCCTGCTTCCGGCTGGAAGCGGGGAGAGGAAGTGGGGAGAGCGTGCCTCCTTGAGCGGCCTTCTGGACCTCAAGAAACAGGCCCTGGAAAGCTGAGCTCTATGGTAGGGCTCCATCCATGCACATCCCTCATCATTTAGGAGGACAGAGGGCATGTTGGAGCAACCCCCACCTTCCTTCTAACTAAGGGGCGGGCATGAAACCCAAGTGCTCAATTAGAGGGCTTGAGGGCGCAGTCCTTCAGCTGATCAATGATTCTCTCTCATCAAGGATGTTTCTATCTCTCTCTCTCCCTCCCATGCTGGCACCCAGCTCTCCTCTCTGAAAGAAAAAAAAAGAAAGAAAAAAAGAACGAATGCAGTTGGGAAGCAGAAAGTGTCTGACAAAAGTGAGGCGTGACCTGTGACTCCTTCGCGCTCCAATCTCAAACAAGGACAGCAAACCTCTCTGAGGCTCAGTTCCCTCGGCAGGAAAGCGGGGTAGCAGCTACTGCGCGCAAGTGTAGCGAATGGTTGGGCACTAGTTAGGGCGCTCACTGCCACTGCTGCCAGGCACAGGCACATGCCCACATTTCCACTCTGGGGAGAGCCCCTGGGGGCTGGGGAGGAAGGAGGACTGTGCAGTGAGGGGATAACTCAGCAGCAGGGACTGTGAACACCCAGCCGTGAAGAAATTCTCATGAAGAAGACATGTGGGTTGTGGCTGACCTCAAGTTTAATATGAATTCATGGTCCAGCTGCCACTGCTCAGTGGGCCCTCTGGCTGCATGACGAGAGTACCAGTTCCAACGCAGAGACGGGATTTCCAGGCAGCTAACCGCAGCCCCAACAGCTGTGTGTGCCCAGCCCTGTGCTACCCACACTCCTCAGCTGGACCCTCAGCTAACTTCCCAATCATCCTACCAGGGAGGCTGAGAAGAAGGCCCCAGGGCACAGATGGGGGAAGAGAGGCTCAGGTTAAAGTAATTTGTCAATCCTCATCCCACTGTTGCTGCCCCTCCCCGACTTCCACCTCGCCCTCTGCCTTCCTCCAACAACCCTATTTTTTTTTTTTTTTTTTTTGCCAGGTCTCTCCTCCACACAGCCTTGTGCTTCTGGAGAGAGGACCCCACGGCCGCCCATGCTCCTGGTGGGTCTGCTCAGTCTAAGCAGATCTCAGTAGGCTGCCCATTAGCACCTCCTGGGAGCATTCAAAAGGTACACGGGCCCTGGCTGGGTAGCTCAGTTGGTTAGAGCATCATCCCGCTACACCAAGGTTGTGGGTTACATCTCCAGTTAGGGCACATACAAGAAGCAACCAATGAATGCATAAACAAATCCACCCCCCCTTCTCTCTCTCAATTCAATTAAAAAAAAAAAAAATCCAACGCTGCCAGATTAATGATGGATGTCATTCTGGGGGCAGGATCCTGGCCTTGACATTTTTACAAAGCTCTCCTGGGGGCTTCAGAGCAAGGCCTCTTTACCCTCAGGAGGCCGCAGCAAGTGTCTGAGGCCCCAAGCACGCTGGCACCCAGCCCTTCTTGCGTGAGCGCACACACCTGTCACTGCAGAGCCACCTCAAGCCGGGTTTGTTGTTAGCAGCCACCCACACGGCTCAGTTCCTCAGCTCCTGAGAACTTTAGCTATTAATAAACTGCAGCTAAAGTTCTCCCGAAGAGCATTTATACAAAGGTCTTTGCTTTTTATACTATTAAAAAACTGCAAAAAAACAGTCTTCTACGGGGGCTTGTGGTTTGCCATTTATCAAATGCGTCATTTGTTTCCAACATCCCAGCTGCCAGGGATCTACTGATAATGGCACACCATCGGCCAGCCTTCTATGTGTTTAAGATGCCTTATTGTTCACTTGCTCCTGAAAACAGGTCCATTTGGGGCCGGTTCGCTTTACAGACTAGGAGAGTGAGGCCCAGAGAGGTTACTAAGCCTTGGCCCCCTCTTCAGGGCAGCCAGAGACACGGCAAACATCAGCTTCAATCCCAGGATTGCAGGCAGGGGCAGCCAGGGCTGGGTCACACGTGGGAGCAGGGACAAGGCTCTCTGGCCCAGGTTCCAGGAAGCACATACCTAAGCTGAGTGTTGAGGGATGTGGGATCAACCAGACGATGGGGAGGAAGGGCTGGTGAAAGTAGGCTGAAACAGGTGTGCTTCTGGGGCGCTAAATGATTGGTGTGGCTGGAGGGAGCGTGTGCAGTAAAGGGTTACTCAGCAGGCCCGAGCTGTCCACACCTTGCACATTCCAAACAAAGGACTGGCCCTTGATGGGCTCCTGGGAGGGAACCTCTAAACCAGTGGTTCTCAACCTTCCTAATGCCGCGACCCTTTAATACAGTTCCTCATGTTGTGGTGACCCCCAACCATAAAATTATTTTCGTTGCTACTTCATAACTGTAATTTTGCTACTGTTATGAATCGTAATGTAAATATCTGATATGCAGGATGTATTTTCATTGTTACAAATTGAACATAATTAAAGCATAGTGATTAATCACAAAAACAATATGTAATTATATATGTGTTTTCCGATGGTCTTAGGCGACCCCTGTGAAAGGGTC